ACCCCCCCCCCCCCCCCCCCCCCCCCCCCCCCCCCCCCCCCCGCCCCCCCCCCCCCGCCCCCCCCCCCCCCCCCCCCCCCCCCCCCCCCCCCCCCCTACTCATCAACTCATCACCTAGGGTTCATTACTTACCATCATCATGATCATCATGTGCGGGGGCCTCTCCAGGGGCAGTCGCCGCATCCGCGCTTCTCGAGGCGGCTACTTTCGCGACCTTTTTCTTCTTCTTCCGTTCCTGCTTCTTACTCAAGGGCGCATCGTCATCTGACTTATAGAAGCCATCGATGCCTTTGGGCCGCTCACCCGTTTGCTCGAGCATTTGAAGGTTGAGAAGTTCGTCTATAGCGAGGTTTGCATCTCCCTTAGCCTTTTGAAGGGCCAGCTTGACATCGATGTATTTAAGCGAAACGAACATGGAGGCGAGCTGGCCCACTTTCTCCTCGTGTGTGAGGCCATCCAAAACACTGACATGAATGATACCCGGGACCTCGCGCTCAAAGGTCGGAGACGATGGATGGGACAACGTATCGCGCGAGGGCGAGCTCAATGTCTCGGTGTTCGTGGTCAATTCATCATTGCTTCTGAAATCGCTTTCTGTGGCTTCGGATCTCGGCAGATCATAGCCGCCAGAACCGCTGGGGTTGAAACCAGTTGCCTCCTCAGCCGATACATTCTCAGAGATACTCAACAGAACCTCACGAGCAGTAGCGAACTCGTTTGATTTGCTGAGATCATAATCACCCGTGATGGACAAAATAGTCGCTTCATCCAAACGAGAGGCGAGCTCGTCCTACCATTGTCAGTACGTCCCGTAGACATTATGCATGGTCGTATTCGCCAAAGTAGACAAGTAGGGCTGTTAATGTGCGCCACACACATCGGCAAACACTGAATAGACGAGAACTGGGAAACAGAATCCCAGCTCAAAAAATAGTTGAAGCGAGCGTTTGTGGGCATTGGGCTAAACGAGAGTATTCAGACTAAGGCGACTCACAACTAGTTTTTTCGTAGGGTCTCCCATAATAATGCAAATGGCTATTTACGTCAAGTCTAAAAGACTGAAAGTACTGTATCAGGAGAATTAAGGGATGGTGGATGCGCAAGAGGAGCAAGAGGAGCAGCAGAGCGTATAGGCGACGAATGCAAACGCTGAGGCATCATTCTATGTAGTTCGGAGTCTTGGATTGTTGCACCAAAAGTTTAAAAAGCAAGCAATCCAAAACAAACAGCGGCAGGGTATTACAGCAAACGGAGAGTGCAGGATAATGAGACGGGAGTGAGCGAACAAAAAGGATCGATCGCCGGCGGATATGTATGACAAGGCAGGAAAAAGTGACCTTTCCAAGGTTGCGAAAGTATAATACGGTACCTGTCGTTCATTGGCCGCCTGGCCGCCTGGCAGCCGGCACCACTGCGATGCCAGGTGTTGGCTAGCCACGCCGGGGCACCTGGCCAGGGCTTTATATCACAACGAATACCTATATCAAAAGGAATTGAAAGCTGTCACAAGAATAAGGCGATACCACCTCTCGCAAGGTTGGATGCATCCCCGAACTAGAAGTGTGGCTAGTCTAGAAGTGCAGTGAACTTAATACGCCGTAAAAGGCCATTTCGGAACCTGAAATCTGGCTTTAGACAAATCATGAAAACTCCGGCGCCCGCCAGTTAATCCCGGTACACGTAGACTAGGAGAAGGGTGTAAGTACTGATAACTCATCACATGAATTTTACAGCACGCAATCTTCAGAACTCGCGGCTCTCGCCTATATCACAGACGTCAAATAACCCTGTCTCAGGGAGGCCTTTCCTTTTCAACGCCTCTTTGAGCAGCTTAGGAGGTTCCAAGGGGTGCTCCGAAGTTAGCACCCAGGTACCCCAGTGAATGCCCATGGCCCTTTTGCAATTAGTATCGCGAAAGATTTCGACAGAGTCAAACGGATTTGCGTGCATGCTGTGCAAGAGTAGGTTGTCAGTAACTGTCATTTCTGGCGTGACGTATGATAGTTGTCGTGCAGGCACCACGATTCTACATAGGATAGGGGTGGAGAGGAGAGGAGGTAGACGACTCCGAAGACCACTTACTGTGAGAAAATATGCCGTGGGCTGTAGGCGCCAATAGGGATAAGTCCTAGGTCAACCGAGCCGAGATGTTCTCCGATCTCCCGGAACTGAGGACACACGGGCAAATTCAAAAACTCCGGGCCCCAGTCATCAATACCCTCGGCGACCTTGGGAACTGTGCGGTAGCCCGTATCGCCACCAAACCAGACTGTCTTGTCCGCAGACTTGATTCCCCATGAGGCCCAGAGGGTTCGGTCCCTATCGAGTCCATTCCTGCCGGATGAGTGCTGGCAAGGGAGACACGAGATTTTGGCTTTGATTGGTTCAAGCTGTGTGTTTGTTTCCTTTGATTGATTGGGGGTGAATGTGACCTCTGCTTCGTCCCACCAATCCATCTCCGTCACTTTGTCGATACCACTCGACTTGAACCATTTCTCCAGTCCCAGGCCCACGAAAAAATGTGCTTCGGGATGGTGTTTCTGGATCTCCTTCACAGAAGGATACGACAAATGGTCATAATGAGAATGACTGATGACGACGGCATCGACGTAAGGGATGTCAGCTATGTCACACGGCCGCTCTGTGTACCTCTTGAAGCGCTGGATGTTTACAGGTGCACAGCAGTCCTCAAACACAGGATCAAACAATACCCGCAGTCCTGACGGATACTCAACATAGTAACATGCGTGGCCAACTGCCGTCACCCTAGGTTAGCTCTGACTGCAACCACAGGTTTTGTCAAGTGCCTCGGACATTCGAGGGGGTTGATAGCATAATCATTTGAAAGTGAGGGTATATAGAGAGCCTTCATAAGCTAAACGCGAATGAAATCAAGAGGGGAATGGCCAACAATTACTTACGCCACGTAGCTCGGAGCTGGGAACACTCTGTGCGTGTCGGTAGGAATTGAGGTTTCACCACGGGCACGAGGTTGTCTGCCAGCTTTGGGGCGGGCATCTTCTCTATGCCAAGTAAGGTTTTTCTATGCCGTAAGGTTGCATTAGCCACACCTCAGGCTCCCATCTATGTCGAGTCGAGGGTAATAGATTGGAGCTTCCACTTACACCACCATTGGCACAAATACCGTTAATGGCGGGAACACGTGTGATGAACAGGGATTTTGGAACCTAATCGTCTCCCCATGCTTATTTTTGATGTGATGGTCTTTGGCGTTCTTCCCTGACACTTTGTCAGAAACGGGCTGTGCCGCGACTGTGCAAGCGTAAGCCGCCATGGCAATTCCCGAGGTCTTGGTCCCGGCTGAGGCAAGTTTCCTGTATCGAGTTACTGATGGTGGAAGGCGAGATCCCGACCACAGAAGTCGTCTTAGGAATTGCATCGGGCGCTAGCCGTCTGTGGGATGAAAGAGAGAAAAGGACGGGGAACGAGAGGGGAGCCGTGTTGTACACAATATTTAAACACGTCTTATCTGCATCGAGTCGCCAACCGAAGTGGTGTACTGTACTACAGAGTACTTATGTATATTGCAAATGCGAATCTGACTCGGCCCCTTGGCGTGCTGTCTCTGGGTCGCCTAGCTTCTGGCCTACGAAGTAGGTAAGGAGTTGGTTGGTCGGTATGCGATGCTAGCGGCGAGGGCCTCGATGCGACGGGTGTCCGCGTGCTGCTTAACTCCGGCTGTAAGCAGGCCATACCACCCAGTCCACACTTGCAAGTTGCCTCTAATCCTTAACTCCGGTGCCACCGTACGAAGTAATCCCTTTGAATTAACATTTGATTGAGGAGATTGAGTAAGTAAACAGGAGATGATTTGGGTTAATTCATCAATAAGAAGATAGCCCCGGCCTGTCTATACATAGGTAGCAAGGTTAGATTAGATAGGCCGAGAAGACTGAGTGGGACCTGATTCTTCCTCTCAGAAAACTCAGGCGTTTCTTCGCCAACTAGATAACCCAAATAGTGTACGATGCTCTTTTGCACGTTGCGATGGCTTGAAGGAAATCTTAGCATTAGAGCAGTAACGCTGCTGAGAATGTACCTTGTTTGAGACAAAGGCTGATCTGCTCTGAACTATGCCACCAATAACTTGTGTGAGCTGAAAGTGTAAACCGTACCCCTCCGTGTTGACAATAGGACCGTTCTCTACGCTTCATACCCCTGAAATGTAAGCCTAGGAGAACGGTCTGTGCAACGAATGCCCATATTATACGCTGGCCTTTGATGTCTGCCTGCTCATACCATCCTCAAGCATTTCCTCTGGCGCCCTTTGAAGGACTCACTACATCTATTTAACATGCCCAAAGCCAAACATTTGTTGCCATATCCAGTTGTTGTCCTGCATACTGCGACCCCGCCTGCCATCACAAGCGACAGCGATAATCCAAAATTGAGCCACGCTACAGTCTAGGCGGAATCGTGTTATGCGACCTCGTTCCCATCTTCACTTTCGTCTTCCGGCGGAACCCACAATAACACGCCTTCTTTGTCGCTCTTCATTCCCTCCGTTGGTATGATCTTCAAGATTTTCTGAAAGTACTTATCTCGAACTACGAGCGTCGGACGAATCCATGTACCCTTCACGATTGGTAGTAAACGGTAGGTTACGGACCGTCTTGCAACAGGGAGCACGTTCAGGGTCGTGGTTTTAGCACCAGAGAAGGCGAACTCGTCACTCGGCTCCATGGTAAGACCGAAAGTTAGGAAGTGAGAGGATGGATTCTCTATCGTGATATCAAGGAAAAGGAGTTGGGATAGTGATCTAGACGGCGAGACTGGAGACGATGGAGAAGAGGAATAAGAAACCGTGGCTAGGACCCGGGGCTCGGAAACTGTTACGAAGAATCTTGGTAGTGGTAAAGTCGTGATGTTCAATACCGTATCAGAGGCACTAGCCCGTCTCCATTTTATAGTGAAAGCGAGATCTGCCGTCGCAGGGGATCGATCATCCAAGCTGGATTTCTGGGAAACGAGATCAAATTGCGCTTCCTCGATTGTTTTAGGGTTAAGGGTTCGACCACCGGCAGGGAACGCCTCAGCCTTCGATGCAGTGCAAGTTACATTACCCTGTGTGGTGATTACTTTCACTTCAAGATCTGAGATTAATACATCCTCTTGAGCGAAAGAGGCATAACGCGTGATAAGAGCCCATCTCTGCGCTAGTCCACAAGACCGTAGGGCAACTGCGTCACCGTCCGGAAGGTTCTGTATATTCTCAGTATTGAAGAGACTGGGCCATTCATGATGGACCCTCGGTAACATGTCGTAACTCGCTTCGAATGGAGAGACAATATTGAAGCGATAGAGCGCGTCCTGGATAATAGGTGTCGATAGGTCTGAAACGAGGTAATAGAAGACTTTGATGCTAAGATCCACCACAGTGGGCATGTCGATAGGATTAAGCGTAATGACAACGGCCGCCGACTCTCCCGCACTGATAGGGTTCATCTGAATACCGCGCAAGGTTTTATCATCACCTTCTAAAGTAAACGATTGTGCAGCGCCACCAACAATTTGAACTTCATATGGAGGGGTGCCACTCCCTAGCAAAGTGACATCCATTCTTGCAGTTGCGTCGCTGGCTTCTTCGTTCATTATGTCTAGGCTAAGCTCGATGCGTTCATTCGTGTAATATTGCTCTAGCATTCGGCGCGCCACGATTTCCATCTTTGGGGGCCTTGGAAGAATCCTAATACTGTGAGGATCTGGCCGTATGAACTTTCTCTTTGAAAACAAGCTAGAAAACCATTGTCTCGAGGATGCCGCTCGGCCAGGTTTCATGCTATAATTGAGTGAATATGTTTCGGATTCTAAAGAGAGCTGTATAGATGTTGCCTTCGCTTCGCCAGGCTCTCTGAGTGGGACGTCAAATTCAAAGACTCGAGTGTGACCCGGAAATAGGGTTAAGTCCTGCGTTCCTCGAAGGACGGTTAATTTGCCTTGTGGAAGACTGGCATCATCACTATCGTCGAATACCGCATCATCTCTACTGATTTCGATTTCCTTGATGACAATCTTGGCAAGTTCCAATGTCTTGCTGGGTAGGTCTTGGCTTCGACTTTTCTCATGCTCTATGAGAATCTCACGCAGCCCACCCTCAACAAGGATATTCAGAGACTTCAGCGTAATGGGGGCTGCATCAGAAAATGCGCTAGAAACCAGGGTTAGCTGTCCAGGGCATGTCTGTCCGGCTTTTCCTTCTTCGTGTCTAAAAACGAAATCAGCGTGGACAAAAGATGTTAAATGCTCATCGTCAAGATTGATCAACGGTGGCTTCTCCACGCTAATTCCATCTAAAGCCTTTGAGATATCGTAATGCCAGTCTGGGCGCCTGGAAAATGCTGTGAGTTTATCAGTGATGTTCTTACAGTGCATTCGAAGAGGCTACGAACCTTTATTCATCAGTTCCCAGTCAATGGCGACGATGAGCTCTTTCTGGCCGGCTTTAAAAGCTGCATGCCTCAAGGTCCAGCTCACTACTTCGATGATATCCCACCAACCTTCAGACCGAAATGCAATATTCCTCCAGAAGGGAGCAAGCAGCTCTAGAATTTGTTGCCACTCTCCCAGCAGTTCAAGTTCCCTACACGCATCGAGAGCTAATTCAATCGAGGCACGCTTCTGGTGCCGTTTTTGGAATTCGGTTCGTGCAAGAATTAGGTGATCAAATATCAGCTGGGCATGATTGATGCCAAGCCCTTGAAGGGGAAATTCTTCGTGCGGCTCCGGGCACATGTAGGTGTCATAGTTGTAAGCTTTCCTTGTAATTCCAGCTTTACTTGACTCATCTGGAGGCTTTCGGTCTACTTCAGGTATAGACTGCGCAAATGTACGCCTATCTAGCAAGTGCCGTGCTGCGGATCGGTACCAATATCCAGAATGATGAAGCAGCTCCCACGGTTGAAGCCGTTCAGCGGATAGATTCTTCTCTGGTGGGCGAAAGAGTAACAGCGACGATGGTTCTAATTCTGGGAAGTTTACTTTTTCAATCAAGTTGGCCATCACTGCACACCATCTTGCTTGCCATGCTTTCCAGCCACTTCCAAAACCAAATATTAGTGAGTTTTCAATGAAATGCTGGGGAGATTGAGGGCGTGTACAGAGTTTTTTATGGGCATTGGCTAGAGCTGGCAATAATTTTATCGAGGTGGCTTGGTAAGGGGCAATAAAAATTCTTCCAACTTACTAATTTTGTGTACCCTGACCTTTTCGGTCTACTATGTCACAAATCCTCTCATTATGTATCTGCCAACGCCGTACAGCAGCTGTACTTTGTCCGCTTAGCAACAGGCATTTCAGCGCTCGTATTGCTACTATATCGGCCAGAAGACGAGCATCATTAAACCTCGGGTTCCATGTGGGAATAGTCTCCAGCAAATCCTCACCAAGTAGAGTTTCGTAGGCTTGTTCGTAAGATCTCAAGGCAACATCAAATTCTTGGCGAAATTCAGCTAGAACGGCTGTCTTGAAGTCGTACCGAGTATTCCATCCTTGAAGACTTAGCGTATGGGACGTCCCAGTGGTTGGAGGTATCGTGGGCTGAGGGGCGACTCCACGCGCCTTTTTCTTACGAGAGTGGCGCCCAAGGTCACGGTAGTATTCAAGAGCTTGGTCAAAGATGGCAGTTAGAACATTGTCTACGGCTGTTTCCAACTCAGCTTCTGTTCGTCGAGTAGGCAGAACAAAGAGAGATGCCTTAGGGTCGAGCCCTGTACTTCTCCTTATATTCTCAAGCCTTTCTTGAAACTGAGAGACGGTGGTAGGGGACTGGTCACTGAGAATAACCACAGCTAGGCGGGTCTTGTAGCCGGATTGATTGATAGCATTCTTGATAGCATTTATATCTGCCTTTAGCTGATTGTCATGCAGGGTCGCCAGAGTTGGGTCGGAGGTTAGGGTGTAAAAGCAAAGGTACACGCTTGGTATTAGATGCTGATGCTTATGGAGCCATTGTGTGTCTATCAAGCCATCTGGGTAAAGCGTTGAACCTGGACTCAGGGGTGAGAAGGGAGAGTGCAAGACGAATGCAGAGGTGGGAGCATCCAGATTGTCGGGAAGCCGGGCGCGACGAGGCGGCAGTAGAAACTCCTAACATAGTACTTTAGGACATATCATTTCAGAGACAATCAGCGTTGCGCACAACAAAAGCTATAACATACCCGCCCAATGGTCTTGACTTTGAACTTGAATTTTTTGGGATTATCTCGTGACTGCCAGGGAAGATTAGTAGCATCAGCTTCTTGGATGAAGCGCAACAAAGTTTTGGCTTCCCGTGTATCGACGGCGGAGAGCTCAGAACGCACAAGAATGCCCCGCTCTCTCAATTCGGGATCCGTAGGCAAAGGCTTCGCTTTCGCTGGACTGGCACCGAGCCCCGAGACTACCAAGAAAGGGACATTGTGATCTAGACTCCCCGGAGGATACTCGTCCATTTCTTCAACGTGCAGCGAGGTGTATCGCACACATGGACGGCATGCAAGTTGAGAGATCAAAGCGCAGCCCACTGACGATGGTGAACTGGAGTCATGCGCCGGAGCTGGGTATGCCGTACTGCTATACCGGGATTCTTATATGATCATTTCCTAAGGACATGTCTTAGTCTATGACACCCGTACGAACTTAGAGATATCAGAGCTTGATATACTCACGAGACACTTTCCGAAGCACCGGGCCTGGTGCGCATCCGGTTGAGCTTGCCTGTTCTTGAGCTAAGGGGGATTGCGGCGCAAGTAGTAGGTACATATGTAGTGTATGTACCTAGGTAGTTTTAGTGGACTTAGGTAGCGCCGCAAAGCTACAGTCCAGCTAGATTGGTACCTGCGTGAGTACATAGGTAGGCACCTATCTAGGCACTTGGTATGTACGCAAGACCTAACACTTATCTAAATGTAAAATGCAGCCTCGTCCGCCCATCAAGATGTTCTTAGGTACCTAGCCATCATACAGGTCACAGCGCATCTCTACTATGTATCCTTGGTACTTATTTAGGAATCTCGGATAGTGCCTATGGAAACATCATGGGTGGCATGTGGAAGCCAAATTAGCTCTCCGGATCTAGTGGAGTTACAGCAACTGGGCACCATTAAGGGACCTCAACTCTAGGTACCTAGGTAGGTATGTACCTGTGATATGTACCTATGATATGTGCCTACGTTATGTACCTAGATACCGGTACCTACTACTGCGATAAGATGACAAGTTATGTATTTAGTAGGTAGATACCTGATAGCGGCACCAGGGAGCATTCGGCTAGATACATAATGATGTGGGGAATGAGACAGCAACTGTCCAATCCTCGAGCACTCAACTCTGCCGCGACTTGACGGAGCTGCTATCTTTAAAACTGCGGGCAGCCTCGTCGCTGAGTTATCTTCCCTTCCAGCAGCCCCAGAACTGATTATCTGTATTTCAAGCCGTATAGCCACTGTCCTTTGTATTCTATTCACAAACTTGGACTGAGAACCTCCAACAGAGCATAGAATCTCTTGATACTCATCCAGCGCCTTCCGACTCCATAATACTACTTTTGCGATCCTCGCGTCGCCGCGTCTTCTACCATTACCCGCCCCTCGTCAAGACCCGACATTCTCTGCAGATTATCTCGACGCACGCCCAGGCGTTGGATTGAACGATTCGCAGCATTTACGCTTCTGTTCATCGGCATTCTCGTTATTCGGAAATACAACACGTTTTTCCCTTCTACCTACTCTCGCGACAAGCCGCCTGGACGTCTTGGTGCCCTTATTCGACGAAAAGGCTTTGCCCGATACGGTCGCAAGGTGGTGACCATGGCTTCTCAACATGTTATCTTTGCAGAAACGATCGCGGCGATGAAAAAAGCTCGGAAGCGGAGAGCATACGGTATGTTGAGCTCTACAAAGCTCGTAATTTTCGTACTAACACCAAGCGTACCAGAGTCGGACTCTGATTCTGAAGTTGACTATCACGGGAACCGCGGCCATAAACTTAAGAGGAGAGCCAGATTCACACACGAAGGCCAACTGGTGGCGCCGTCCGGGCCCGAGGTATACAAAGAGGTGAGATCATCCACCTGGCCTTACCCTATCGTACTAATACTAAGGATTCAATAGATTGTAAACCACGCTGGGTATCAACGAGCGATCATCAGCCGGAATCCCCCACTTATCGACGACGAAGGGTACGAAATTGATAGTGACGATGACGAAGAACAAATTCTCGATGCCATGAACAATGCCGCAGAGTTCAATCCATACACAAACATCCGCCTAGAGAGTAAGTCTCGCCAACTTCAGGATTCTGTGTATAGATCGTTAACATTGATATTCGTAGATGTTCTAGCACCCTTAACGGCAGTCACGGACCTTCCGACGCACCAAACATTATCGAGACCGTATACGTCTAAAACCCTTACCGAACTTACCAAACAAGGCTGTAGTCTTATGCACAAGGAAAACGCGGCTTTGTGGAAAATCAAACACCTCCAGACAAAATTGGTTGGAGACCATAACTGGGTACCCTGTGAGCTGATGATAGGGCCAAACGATATTGAGTTATTCAACGATGATTACGTTGATCGCTCACAAGAGTCTCTCAAGTCGGATAGCAATACGCTCATGCTCGAGCACACGCACACGCACAGCGAAGCCAAATCAAATGGACATTCCGCTACTAATGGCGATGGCCAACTCAAAAGTCCTCATACTACTCGACATGATCCTAGCAAGCTCGACAAACCCGGTATCTTGATGACCGACGCTGATCCTACACCAAACGAAGCTGCGACAGCCCAGGATCCGAGATTTGGGAAGCATAAAATCAATCAGGCATCGTCGTCAGGCAACAAAGACCTGGAGCATACCGATTCAAGGGCCAAAGAAGCAGATACTCAGTCACAACAGAACGGACAAGTCATCAATCAAAAGGAAAAACATGTTGCGGAAGCTCTGATGGCAGACTGGCAGACGGTGAACGGCTCAACCGTATCTACCAATTCTGACAAGGCTAGGGTGCAAACCTCCCAGCTCAATGAGGCGGCGAGGAAAACTGTCAACGATATGAGTCGACCGGTGTCTGCCATATCAGATTCAACGAGTGATCTTCCAATACATCCCATGTTCATACCCCCACGATCAGCCCGTCCTGATCGAGATCTGGGCATCCCAGAAAGTGAAGCAGAAGATATGAGGCGTATTTTTCAGCTTTTTGTTCAAAAACAAGAGGAAGTCTGTCGTGGGGTGAAGCGTTTATATGAAGGACTTCTTCGAGCAGAGAGGATGCGCAAGACTGTGTTACAATGGTCTAAATACGAAGCGCACGTGGGTCCAAACAGGGACATGTCTGATGGGGAAGACTGGTATGATAAGGAGGAATGGGGCTTTGACGAGGACCTGAAAAAGGGCCAGGACGAAGAGGAAGATGAGCCCCAAACGACGAAGAAAACCAGGACTCGGCGCTGAGAGCACAGGCAAAGAAATTAGATATGCTTTACGAATTTGAATTGTAAATGGATACCCAGGACCATGCAGACAGCTTGGTTCTATCACAATCGAATACCTCAAGAGGAAGCATTCTTGCTTAAGGTTATCGTTTAGGCTATTAGCAATGTGGCTAGGTCGATGCTACTAAGCCTCGTGCGGGACCCCGTAGTGCTCCATTTGACAGGTTCAATTAGCCAGGTGCTTCGCGCCTCGAATCAGGATAGGAATTTGGGCAGCAATCTAGGGTTGTACGACCAGAGTACGCATAGGTAGGCTTTGGTTCTATGCTCACGTGGTGATTCTGGGTGGTCTCAGGAGGGCAATCCAGTTGGAGCATGATCGAGCAATGATAAAGCCAGGCAAGCGCCAATGCCGTCAGCGACAAATGACGGCATAGTACTGTACTCTGGAATGGGGCCTGCCGGGTTCCCATGTAGGCGGCGCGCTCTTGGTTGGTTCTGAACCCCCGGTCACCTGTTCTGCGTCATTCAGCCAGAAGCAATCTTGATCCTCCAACCGTAGCCACTCTTCGTCACCAGGTTAGCTCTGGAACAATTCAACATTCTTCACCATTAGACGTCTCCAAGCTGTTCACGGCGAGATAGACTCAAGCAGCCATGGCGCCCGTTCATCCCGCAGCTGGCCAGCTAGTTGATTTCAGTCAGAAGAGCCTGTTTAGTACGCCTACCACCACACTATCCCTGACCAAGTGGTTATAGACAGAAATACTAACACACGAGCTTTGCAACGCAGTTTCGGCCCTCTCTATTGCTTTCAATCCTCTTTTCTGGAAGTGAGTCGCTCCCCAGTATGCACTTATCATTGCCTAATGCGACGTTGACCGGATACTGATATTTCCCTCCAGCATCGTAGCGAGGCAAGGTTCGACGCCCCCTCTTCGCTTACCCCGTCGAGGATAGAGCCCGGCATGCAGTACTGACGCAGCGTAGAGTATCACAATAAAGTCCTTACTAAGCTATTCGGCGGCCGCTCTCAAACAGCCTGCTATGCGCTTGCTATGACCATCTTCTCCCTAGGCCTTGTCCGTGATGGTCTCTACGAACGCGCTCTCCGCCATCAGCCATCCTACCCACTCCTCGAAACCACCGAAGCGCAATACCTTGCGTATGCTTTAATCGCCGTTGGAAACATTCTCGTCATATCCTCAACATGGGCCCTGGGTATTACGGGCACTTTCTTAGGTGACTACTTTGGTATCCTCATGGACAGCATCGTTACAGGGTTCCCATTCAACGTTACAGATGCCCCCATGTACCACGGATCGACCTGCAGCTTCCTTGGAACTGCCATCCTGTATGGCAAACCAGCAGGCATCCTGCTAACGCTATGGGTATACATTGTCTACCAAATCGCTCTTAATTATGAGAACCCTTTCACAGCTGGTATCTATGCCAAGAGGGATCGCGAGCGTGCTACAGCTGAAGGAAACGATAAGAAATCACGGTAATAGCCTACTCCGCTATACGACAAGTTTTAGCGTATTTTGGCTATTCTACAAATTTGTGAAGTGTCAGCTATATTGGCACTTTTACAACTAGCCGCATATGGCTCATCCGAGTAGACAGGGACCAGCACATGGCACGATGTAATAAACTGCGAGGCTTAATGTAAAAATTAGGATGGCCGGTCTCGCACCGACAGGAGACAACCAGTTATAGAGAGAAGGTATCCACCAACAGTCGAGTATGGGGTAGAAGAAAAAGAGATAGAGAGAGAGAGAGAGAACATACAGATGGTCGAGACTGGAAGCGCGAGACAAGCTGGACTTTGATAATAATGTTGCAATGAAGTTATTACTGTCTGTGAAGATACTGCGTATGCCGTAGCTAGTAAGGATCGTGGTCATGCTCATATGGGGTGTGTGCATCGCGTCGTGTTCGAACTTCTTGTTCGAGAGTCGTGCAGTTATGATCTGATCTACCCCGCCTCTACGCACGATCGCCGTCGAAGTCGCAGTTGATGATAGTCCAAAGTTCTTTATTCCCATGTATGGCGTGCCTCAGGAGCAAGGGTGTCTATCCACAGTGTTTATGACAATCTTTCTCTCGTTGGTCCCTGGGCAGTTTTTCATGATCTACGTTTCGAGTAGCGTAGAACTGTAGTTTTGCTTTCAATCTCCCCGAAACCCCTTCCCATACTTGTTTTGTATAGACTAGAGTTCCGTCAGTAGTGCTCTTTAACATCCGATGTCGTGTCTGTGATCACCTACCCGGGCATAGCCCTCGACAGACCTGCAGAGACAACCACTCCAAATGTTAGCCTGCAGGAGATTAAGCAGAATACGGACGTGTCCAGGGACTCGAGCGTCTAGTCGACTGGGAAACCGCCCCGCCAAGCTACAGGTTCTTCACGCAGGCTATCGCCGGGATGTGGACAAGGTTCAATCTAGACTTAATACAAAACGTGCTGGATTTTGATCATGATGATGATTCTGTTCACAATTTTGTAATAATCAGATAGGTAAGGCTATCGCAGGGCGATCAAGACATATGTAGTTTTATTGCCGTTGGCTGAAGACTCTGGATATACCTAGTCGACGCTCTCACATGATGCAAGTAAGATTTCACCTACCTACCCGGGTAGGTAATGGATGGCAGGCTATAGGCGCCTCAAGGGTTCAAGGGCGTGTCAGACCGGAGAGCGTCCAGAGGGATCATGCGCTCCCACCCTCGAACCTCGAACGCGCAGCTGCAAGCAAGGGCCTATCCCCATGGGCATCCAATCAAGCGCCAAGAAAAGGCTGCACAAGGCTCGGGAGGAGGCACCGGGACATCGGCCGGGCAGGCTCCCGGATAGCCGTAATGGGCGATCTTATCAATCACACCGTCATTTTGCCGAGCCCGACTATCGGCGAGGCCTCGGTATCTACCATTACCGGCTTATAAGCGCAACTATTATCGTGAAAACGGAAATATCACATCTTGTCAACGTGCATCTCGTCTAGCCGCCATCTGCATCTGTCTTGCTTGAACTGTATCAATCGCCTGCACTCACACTCTTACACCGCTTGTATCTTCCATCGCCACTGCATCTGCGACTGGACGGAAGCGAGGCAACCAGCAGCATCATCTCGCTACCAGAATCTGGCCACCCTGCTCCCCCGCGGATTGTAACCATTATTATTTATATCAACGCCCGCCGTATAGCCTACGACGGAGCCCAACGCGTGACCTCGACCTTCGCGGCTTGCTCTTGGGCCGTTAAGCAAAAAGTCCGGGGTCTTGATTGGCCGGATATGAATAAGACGTCGAGGACTGATGAACCATACGACGGCGAAGGACTGAACCAGAATCCCAATATCTTCTCCAACGACCTCGTCACCAACGAGGACTTCAACGGTATCGCTAACGCCCGCGAACGTCGGGCACGCAACTCCAGGAGCATGGCTAACTCGGGTCAGCCCATCGCACGGGACGTGTCCGTCGCCTCTGATGATGATGACCGCTCCAGCATTAGTAAAGGACTGGCCCTTGGGGACGGCCAGCCGCCTGAGAAGTCCATGAACTTGGCTCAGGCACACGACGGCCCGGCAGCGTCGTCCAACGCGTCCGTCTCCGCGTCCCCTAAGAAGCGCAGCGGTCCGACGAGCCTTCTGCGGAAAACCTTCATGTACATCGTCACCCTCGGGAAATTCGTGGGGCCCGGCTTCCTCGTCGCCGTCGCCTACATCGACCCGGGCAATTACTCCACCGGCATCAGTGCCGGTGCCGCCTTTCGCTTCCAGTTGCTCTTCATCATTCTGCTCAGCAACCTGTTCGCCATCCTGCTCCAATGCCTCGCGGTCAAGCTCGGCACTGTCACGGGCATGAACCTGGCTGAGTGCTGTCGTGCCTTTCTTCCTAGATGGATGAACTACTTTCTGTACTTCCTCGCTGAAGCGGCTATCCTCGCAACAGACATAGCTGAGGTGAGTTTTCCTTCGAGGTTCATCTTTGTAGTTCATGGCCCCAATTCCACCTCGGCTTTCTTGTTCTCGCCTGCTCACTGGTAGAATCTAGGTCATCGGTACAGCCATTGCGCTGAACTTGCTGATCCCCGCCATCCCGCTTGTCGCGGGATGTGCGCTCTCCATCTTGGATGTTTTCATCATTCTCTTTTTCTATCGGCCCACCGGTTCCATGAACGGTCTCCGCATCTTCGAGATCTTCGTCATGCTCTTGGTCTTGACCGTCGCTGCTTGCTTCTCCATCCAGCTCTCGCTCATCAAAGATACCCGCGTTGGTGAGGTCTTCCGCGGCTACCTTCCTAGCGATGTCATTACCAAGTCAGAAGGGCTGTATCAGGCTTGCGGAATTCTGGGTGCCACCGTAAGTCGACTTTCACTAAAAGCTGCTTGGGCCTATAGCTGGCTCGAGTGGACATAGCATGTGTCATATAGATCTTTGTCCCTTTATTAATCGGAAACGAAATAGGTGATGCCGCACTCGTTATACCTCGGTTCAGGGGTGGTTCAGAGTCGTTTGAGAGATTACGACCTGAGGAAAGGTCTGTTGCCAGAGAACTCGGCCGGCTACACCGTCGAGGACCTAAAAACTGGGGATAAGACGTATTACGTCCCCAGTCTAGCAGCCATCAAGTATTCTCTCAAGTACACCTATACCGAGGTGGGCGTGACCCTCTTCACCTTCGCCCTCTTCGTCAACAGCGCCATCCTCATTGTCTCCGGCGCCAGCCTATTCGGGAACCCCGACGTCTCGGACGCTGACATCTTCAGCATCCACGATTTGCTGGCCAAATCCATCAGCCCCTTTGCCGGCGTCATCTTCGCCCTCGCGCTGCTCTTCTCCGGTGTCTCAGCCGGCATCGTCTGCACCATCTCCGGTCAGATGGTCAGCGAAGGTGCCCTCAGATGGAAGGTTAAGCCCTGGCTCCGCCGCCTCATCACGCGGTCCATTGCTATCACCCCTAGCATCATCGTTGCCGGTGCCACGGGCCGCTCGAAGCTCAACGACGCTCTTAACGGGACGCAAGTCGTCCTTAGTATCGTGCTGCCCTTCGTCTCAGCCCCTCTCATCTGGTTCACTTGCTTCAACAAGTATATGGTCGTCCGGTCCGGCCAGTCCAGGGTGCGCGTCGAAGGCAAGGACACAAGCCCGGCCTCCACCAGTGCTGCGGGCGTGCTCGAGAAAACTGACCAAGAGGTCGGTGAAGAGACCGAGCGAATAGTGAAGATGGGGAACCCGTGGTACATCTGTGTTGCGGCCGTAGTCGTCTGGCTTCTCATTGTCATTCTCAACGTCGCCAACCTAGTGCTTCTGGGACAAGGCTAGGCTTGGGGAACGCTACAAGCAGACAGGCCTGCATAGTAGTAGAGTAGAGGATCAGCCCAGAGGGCAAGATAGAGTTTCCACTTCGCCTTTATATTTCTTTTCTCTCTAATCGCCCGCCGCCATACTATCGACAATTCACTCACCCTGTTCCCTATCTTCACAGTCCTTACATGTTAGAACGCACAATGATTCTTGTCACGGCCACTCACTCACTCACTCGCTCATTCCCGGGAATCGGGTGCAAGACGCCCCCTCCCTTTCTCCTCACCTTGCCGATTATCGGCTCTCGCGACATCCACGTCGCATCACATAACGCCACGTTACGCCACGTTACGACTCCAACGAAGTTCATGCGAGTTTTCTGCGCGAAAAAAATCTCAACTTGTTACTCTCCCAGTCACTACAGCTACATCACACTTGATGCGAATTCTCAAAACAGAGGGGAGCGTAAAAAAGCTCTTCTCCTTCTTTCTTTTCTGGATACATAAATATATAGCAGTTGTTGACCAATAGCAAGCACCTATATAGATAAACAATCTCAAAAGAAAGATACTCGAAACACAGCTTTCCCCCTAGCTCGTACCATGCATCTTGTTTTCGGCAGTAGATCAATCTTATCCATGCCTCATCTGTAGTCAATTATCCCTAGATTATGTCGCACGCGCTGAACACCTTCATACGCCCTTGTTCAGCCTGGTTGCCCATTCGGCCATAGATTCGCACGGTCATTTGTATTGAAGATGGAGTTATTCGTCTTTCACCTAATAAGTTACATCCTGGATATCCAGTCGCATTTTCTGACTTCAACAGCCCTGCCATTTCGTATATAGTTTTAGGGACATTTGTATGACAACAATGGGATTATCATGTCGGTAACGCTATGCGCATTTGCGCTCGGATCTCATTCGAATCAACTCACTCTGGTATGGGATGAAAGACTTGATCATAGCAGACCACAGAGGCTGTTTCTTATTATATAAAATTGAGGCAAACATAGACATAGATGCCTGGGGTACTCTTGGCCTCTAAACCGGAATTAATAACAGTCATAACGACATTATAATAGTACAATCGCCTGATAGCGGGACAAGCGTGTCCCTATTAAGCACCTTCATGCCCGCGCTCCGAGAAAATAATAATCCAACCACCCCACCTTACTCCAAGCAATGCCACATGTACGATCAAAATGCGTCGATCCCCACCCTTTTTCTAAATTATCAGGGGGGCCTAATGGATAGGACCCTGTCCTCGCGAGAAACGCCCTCTAGGCGTAACAATGCAGTAGGAATGGATTAAGGGCTTGGTGTATCCTCCAAACTGTATTCTTCTTTCGTGTTTCTGACCCAACCACGACTCATTTCCACGGCCCGTTCCCAACGGTCGTACATGAGCTTTATTTTACCGGGTTTGCCGACCGGGTCAAAGTTCTTCCGACCAGGTTTGTTTTGAGTGATTTCGAAGAGTTCTGGCAGGGAAGTCCAGCAACCTTTAGTGGCAAGTCCGGCAGCAATTGCTGCGCCGAGAGCAGTTGTCTCACGCATCTCCGGTCGCTCGACGCGCATGAAGCTAACATCAGCTTGTGTTTGCATGGTAATGTCAGAATTCGACATTCCACCATCGACAGCAAGTCCTGTAAGCTTGTGACCCGAGTCTTTCTCCATGGCTTCGAGAATAGCACGGGTCTGAAAACAGGTTGCTTCAAGAGTCGCGCGAGCAATATGACCTCTTTGCGTGTGTTGTGTAATACCGACTACAACCGGTTAGTAACATAGTTTGCAGTGTATGCTATAGAATATAGCTATGCAGATTAGATTTCAACTCACATAAGGTTCCTTTCGCATCATCAATCCAATATGGCGCGAAGAGACCACTGAAAGCGGTCACGAACACGACTCCACCATTATCAGGAACAGTTTCGGCGAGTTCACCAACCTTGGATGAATCGCGTACGAAACCCAAGTTGTTCATCAGGAACTTGACACCGGAGCCCGCGACAGCAATACTACCTTCTAAGGCATACGCTTTCTGTCCCTCACCAAAGTCATACGCGACGGTGGCTAGGAGACCGTATTTTGATATAACAGGCTCAGCACCGACGTTGTACAATAGAAAGCATCCGGTACCGTATGTGTTCTTGGCATGGCCAGGCTTGAACCCGCAATGGCCGACCAAGGCACTCGATTGATCACCCAGGCAGCCTGCGATCTTTGTACCCTTTAGGGGTCCTGACGCCAATGAACCGAAGGCTTCAGGATGAGACGAAGGCACGATCTTGGGCAGATCGACTTTAGTGCGATCAATCTCGAAGAATCTAAGAAGCTCCTCGTCGTACTGACAGGTCTTCAGATTCATGAACATAGTTCTGCTCGCATTGGTAGTATCGGTGACATGAATGTTCCTCTCCGGTCCACCATTAAGTCGGTAGATCAACCATGTATCGACAGTTCCGAAAGCCAAACGACCTTCTTCATAAGCTTTACTAACTTCGCCATGGTTCCGAGTGAGCCATAGAAGCTTTACGCTAGAAGGATAGGTACTCAGGGGCAAACCGCAAAGCCCCAATACCTTGTCGGAGTCAGGCTTATCCTTGAGGTATCGAACCAGCGACTTTGTTCGCGTATCAGGCCAGACCATAGCCTGGCAGAGTGCCTCGCCGGTATTCTTGTCCCAGCAAACGGTTGTTTCACGCTGATTGGTGATGCCGATTGCTTTAATCTGTGACGTTTTGTAGCCTTTGGAGACGAATTGCTCAGTCGCCTTTTCGATACACTTCTCGACTGACTCGACGAGATCGTTAGGCTCATGGTCATGCCAACTATATGAGGGAAAACGCGGTTAGTCCTGTCGTTCTACAACGCCATTGGGAGACCCCACCGATCAATGTGGTGAGGGATTGGAGAACAGGGCCGGGGTTGAATTACCCAGAATAAGGATAGTGGTTCTCGAATTCAATCTGATGACTCGCTACAGGGTCGGCGAAGCGGTTAAAGATGATAAAACGGGAAGATGTGGTTCCTTGGTCTATACTGCCAATGAACCACTCCTCTGGCTCAAAGCCATTGACGGCGTGGTCTCCGTTCACACGTGGGCGCTTGCTCTCGCGAGTATCTCCCATTCTCTGGAAATAGCTGCGCAGACCCGAGGGTATAGTGTTGTCCTGTTCGATCGAGGGTCCGTGGTCGTGAGAGGTATCGCAAGGCAAGGCGGCCTTATCCTAGCTATTGGGAGGTGGTCTAGGTTTATGGCTGGAGGCGAAGGCGAAGGCAAAGACGCGAAGAAGTGAGGCGTTGGTAGTAGTAGAAGAATATATCAAGGTAGGTCTGATAGCACGAGGGAAGACTGCGAAGGGGGGAGATGAGAAGGGGGAGAGGAATTGAGATTTTGAAAATTGGCGATACGTTGTGGCTATAAAACGACGTGGGGTAGGGAAACCAGGAGGATGGAGGACGGGTAGGGATGAGGAGAAGGAGGAGACGGAGGAGGAGGCCAAGAAAAAGGAGCGGGAACGGGAGCGGGAGAGGGAGACAGAGGAGGAGAGGGACGAGTAACAGAACGAAGGCGTCATGGTGTGTCGCATACCGAGCACACAGAAGAGCGTGGGATAGGTCACGATTGAGGTTGGCAGTATAGTATGTACCTCCGGGCCGGGGGGGGAAGGGTGATGTGGTAAATGGCACGGCGGGTGAATTGGAACCCCATTACAGTAGCAGAAGCAGGTGCAGTGGAGTGAGAGCGCCGCATACTGTACCTAGGTAGGTACTAGGTACCGGTATATGCACCCCAAGCACGCAGTGAATCCTACCAACGCTGCTAGGCGTGTAGGTACCTCCCTAGGTACTACCTTGGGTACCCAGTAGAAAGAACATTGAAGCCCGGGGTGTACAGTAGTGAAGTCACTTGCAGTAGTGTTGGTGGTACAATTACGCCAAGGTTAGTAAGAACACGAGGTGTACATAGTAGTACTACGTACACTAGATAGATAAGGTACTGTATTGCGACTCTTTTCTCTCGCTGACCTCCCCAGTTACTCAGCCAGACAGAGTTATTCAGTTTTACAGTGGGCCGGCGCACTCACTCATCTCATCATCGGTCGCAATGCAGTTCATCGCGATGACGCTGGATTAGACTATTTCTGGGGCTTAGCGTCTCTTGGATCTGCTGGGGGGGGCTGCTTGGTACTGCTCCTGTACCTGGCGCGCAGAAGTGCGCAGAAGGTGGGCACCTATCAGTACATTAATAGCATCCCAGCATCCCAGCGGCACGTCTCTTCGAGACAGTACCCCACACTGAAAACAGGGATCCTTACAGGGCTCGACAAGCTGCTGGGTAGGTAGCACAATCCGAAAGGGTTGTTTGTCAGTGGTTCAAATTCCTACTTCGTACAGTACATCTCCTACATAGGTACTATCTGGTACTACATGTACATGTACAGTACCTAGATACCTACATGAGGTACAGTACCTATCACATGGAAAATGAGGAAGCTGTGATGGGTAGATATCTAGCTTACGGCTAACAGCATCGTCTTCCATTTGCCGACTTGCATCAATCATCCAACCAGCCTCATCCATGACTGACTGCTCCCAGTCCAGCCTGGTTTCCGCCTACTGTAAGGGAGCGTACAGTAGTGCGATGCCAGCGGGAGCAGTACTAGTAAATGGATGCGTGGATGCGCGGGCTCGGCGAGAGCAGAGGCGAGAGGAGAGGCTAAGGCCTGCCCAACTGGGTCGAGCTGTTGTTCTGCTGTGTCATTTGAGTGGTAAAGATTGTTAGTCGGCTGCAAGTGTCCTGCTGATCGTTGAATTGGTGGGGAATTCAAGACGCGTCCCCCAGGCCCAGAACGCTTCCATGTCGCTTGGTCTGTCTGGTTCTGTCTGGTCTTCCAGAGACTACCCAGTGTCGGCATCCCGGCCTGCACCACAGCTGCACCAGAACCGCGCTACGTATATCTATCCACGACCCAGCCCCATCCCACTCGACTGGCGATCTTCTCGTCTCCTGTTTGTAATTGATTTCTCAACCCTCTCGACACCCGCTTCGCACCATCCAAGTGACCGCCAAAAATTTCTGTCCTGGCCTTGGCCCTCCACTGTGATTCGTAGTGTTCCCGCGCAGTGGACTGGAACCGCCAGTAATCAGTAATGCAGTCTGGACCTATGGATCGCGGAGTGTAATCTCCTGCTGCAATTGCATAGCCTCCTCCTTCTCTTGGGGGCACATGCACATTCACGTTTTACGAAAATCGCTCGGTTAATCTCTTTCCCCCCCTTTGCCTTACTATGGTCGCTCCTAACTGCCTACTCTCGTGTTGCTGTATCTCAAAATTGCGCTGCAAAAGTGACATCGGGCTAACGACCACCGAGCCTAACACATGGAGCTTTGATAACGATTCTCTTCGTGCCCAAGACGGGTCCGCGTCCGTCCACTCCAGTAATCTCCCAGTTCCTTCACAGCTGTTCACGTCTCCTTTTCAATTACTAGTACACAGTCGCGGTCAAGGTGTCTCGAGGCAGCTTTTGGCGGCATTGCATCCCATCCACATTTGTTTGCCAATTAGCCCCACGGGAAAAATATGGGTAGCTCACACGCCGTCACGCCCGTAAGGCTACGTAATACAGGCCGGAGAGCCACGGCGCTGGTGGGTCTTTTCTGATATCATCGGAAACTCGGTATAACTGGTGTTGTCATTACTGTCATTGACCGCGCCAAAGCTTTGGACCCTCAAGCAAAATCAATTACCATGACTTTGAGACGAAAATCTAAGTGTTGGTACATAACTGCGCAACGTACCTATCCTATCTTCATCTGAAAGCCGCTATCGTCGACAGCACCAGCAGTAGCTCCTTCGACTGCAGTCACGCACCAACAGAAAATAACAAAAAGAAGAAAAAAGACAATCTAACCAGCTAAGGGATCCCTAGCGCGGACTGCGTGCGCCATTATCGAAGGGTTAGCCACGTCGGATCTCCTTGCATGAGAGCTAGTGGTAGGGTTAGGGATCACGAACTTGACGCGGGTAGCAAACCCCGAACAAAACGGCTGCTCCCTTTTCCGGCTCCGACTTAGACCATTGTTGAGCATACTACACTACTTATCTTGCTTGTGACCTTGACCTTGTCCAAAATTAGTAGGCGCGTAGAAGGCCAGTTGGGTAGCAAAACAACGCCATCTCGTTTTACTTGCAAAAGATAGTGCTTACACCAAGAGGGTGCATTGATGCAGGTCCACGATTTGGTTATCAATCGCTTCGATTGTATCCCCTGGTCTACATGCGCGATCCAAGTCCTCGGCTCGGATGAACGGGTGAAGAAGAAAAATAAGCATAGTTGTGATGTCTGCAAAACTGGCTGGTATCAAAGGGCATCCATACGGTCGAACACGGTACAACACCAGATGTGAAGGCGAGCAATCTCTTTGGAGTTATCAAGTGCCTAATTACCACTTGCTATTGTGCAAATGTCTGTTAATATTTGGTTAAACTCTATTTCAACAATATCTCTAGATGACAATATTCTCCTCCTTATGCGATGTGATTTTCACGTGTTCCGATTGTTTCTCATTGTACCAGATAGAGGGGAAATCCCGAACTCAGATAAAGACATCGAAAGGAAATTATGCGATAGCAAAGTTGAAATCAGTGGCTATTCTCAAGCCACCCAAGCGCCACACCCGGCTGTGTACCCCGGAACTCAGATCCATTTTCCGGGGACCGGCCTGTCGGCATCGGGCTGGCTATTGGAGGCGTTGGTACAAAATGGGAGGGAGTCGTGCAGATCGAGCCGGCAGTCGATTGCGACAATTTCTAGTTCCGTCACATGCAACACTGACATTCTAGTCCCTTTGCGCATGATGGCATAAGTATACACAGAACTGTTCCTCGGACGTCGCGAGTATGTCTCTCGACATACATACATTTGAACCCTGGAGACGTCAACGGGACCCAGAATGAATCGCGCCGGCGCATAGAAATGACATACGGAGTGGGTCTGTTCGCGGGACGGCGTGGGCGTAGCGGGGAATGCCGGACGCTCAGGCAGACTCAGGGACACGCAATCTGCTATCGTTGGAAAAAGAAGGGTTCTGGATAGAAAGCAATCCTATATTAACACAATGCCCTTACGCAATATCCAGTTTTGTCAAGCCTGTCCCCCATGGGGTGGTAGATCCTAACCTAGAAATGCAATGATATTCGAGTATGAGGTAACCAGTCAATGCGGCGTTGGCCCCATACTAACATGCCAAGGACAGAAGAGAGTGTTGACGCAAATATCATCAAACTACTGAAGAGCCTCTGGTATCTACTGCCTGAGACTATGACTACTGTGTACTACTTTGTAGGTAGTTGGCAGAAACTGTCGGTTAAGCCTATGACGACAGCATGACAAAGGGACCTGAGAATACACCAATTAACCTAACTACCATAATTCTCGTAAATGAGAACACACAATGTTAGACAGAGCAAAAATTTCAAATATAATATCGTTCTCTCTGTACATACTGAGATTATGATTTGACTTTCTTACGGTTTTTATCTTACTTCGCCTAAAACGAAAGGATTGACCTAACTACTAGTTACATAAGCACCTGAATAGGGTAGATCTCGATCTCGCCCCACGTTCCCAGATGCTACCTCTCGTACATATGTACAGGCCAGCTGGAACCCTATGACGTCTTTTCCCCAGCTTCTATGTATCTTGTAAGTAACAGCGACAACCACAAGATCCAGAACATCTCGGAAGGGTCCATTAGGTAATCTACCGCTTTGGGGAGAAGTCGCACGTTTTTGAGCGCATAGATAGAAGTCTAGCGGATCCGATAAGGTAAACTGTGTCTTAATACAGCCAAAGGAGGTTACCAATCCGAGCGAGATGTTTCACCTATATATATATTTCGAAAGCCCTAGTGTTACACGCGTATAAGCTGAACATGTAGTTCGCCTTGCGTTTCGACCGTACTGGAGGCCATTGCAGGCTGTTCATGATCATTCAAATACATGCAGGCAATGTTGGAAAGTGAGGTTATACAGACTTCGTTTCATGAAACAAGCCAACGAGACCTAGGCGGTCAGGGCTGGTAGACCAGTTGTGTATAGAGTCGAGTTAAGCCACCAAGGCCAAGACGGAGTCGGTTGGTCAAGGACTCCTACAGCCCTAATTGATCATTACATTGTGAATAGCGTAAGTTCCAAGCCCAGATTTCTGCCCTTGTTATAAGCCATCACCGTAAAGATGCTTTACCACGAAACTGTCACGCCAGACTACAGGAAGGAAATGGCTCATTGATACAACGAATGTCTCTCACATAAATCATAACTGCTGATTAGACTGACTTCTTCTAGTAACGACCGTATGATAGCCTCAATGAATCCTCCATCAAAATTTCCACTCGTAACCCGTCTTCCAACTTGTCGATATGAACACCAGTGTTAAAACAATTACAGCGAATTTGAAAGCCCCTTTCTTCTAATCTTGCGACTTGACAACATTCTTGCCCTCTTTTGCCCTATCCTCTAGGTGACGTAATAGGCGAAGTGAAGTTGATTTGGCCTTAAAGACCAATAGAATCATACTTGCTGATGGTCAGCTGGAGGGTGTTGTCAAGAGAGTTGGCATCAGAGGTGACGTCGGGAGCATGGCTTTGAAGAAGGCCGATGAGGTCAATAGCGATAGTCTGGTGTCTATGTCAGTGTGTTTTCTTTCCAGTTTTGTTATGGAGGACAACTCACATCAACAACCCCCTCAACGCCACGGAGCGCAGTAGCAACGGGCTGGCCGATGACAGGGACCTTCTCGAGGAGTCCAGCTTTGCCGATAAGAATGTTGAGCAGAGCCTGGTGAACAGCAACGAACTATACAGTTTCCATTTCGTTAGTAACTGGCCAAGATATGATAAAAACAAAAACAAAGAGACATCGACTTAATGGGCGCGTGGTGATGAATGTGAGACATAGAGAGTACAGGAAAGCTTACTTCGCGGAAGGCTCCAAAGACCAGATCGGCATCAGGACCACGAGCGACGAGGTCCCTGGGATGCTCTTTCTCGCCCCTCTTCTGGATCGGCCCGGTTCCGGCCAACTGCGCAATGAGCGTGTTTCCCGTGCTCGTGATGTCGGTGAACCCGGCGATGATCTTAGGGAAGGGACCCTGGCCAACGGTAATTAGGGGAGCATTGAGCAAAGTAATGCTCTGAGCGGGAGCTTGAAGTGCCTGAGACTTCGCAGTGATCAACTTGATTCCATCGGCAATCTGCTGAGGGCTTAGAGCGGCCAAGGCCCCGGATGCCATGGCAATACCAGCAAAGAACTTAGAAAAATGCATATTGACGATTGTGATGGTATGACTAGGATGTCAAGAATGGATACAAGCTTGGATGATGTTGGAAATGTTGAAGGGATTGCTGAGATTCTTGAAGCTGTTGGTGATGATGAAGAGAGAAAAAAGATATCTCGTTCGGGGGATATTCCAAGGTTTTTATATTCGTGTGTCCCGTGAAGTTGATTGTCACGCAATCAGAAGTAGTTAGCAGTGCCATAGTCTAGCCAGGGACTTTCCTTTCCTTTCAGCTCGTGCACTGCAGCCTCGTTGCTAGAAGTGTTCACTTTGCGCGTAGATGAGTATCGAAACTACTGAATCAACCCTCATCTATAGAGAATGCTATTAATGACTAGGGTAGATGTCTCTGAGTAATAAGCATCTTAGTAGCATATTAGCGGTCCAGGTTTTCTGGGTTGTCATGTTGTATAGTTGCCTCAATATTACCTCTTAAGGCCGGGCCAAGGATTAGTCTTAAAATCAAGATGATTATTTGTTCAACAGCTTTGGTTAGATTGGTGCACGTAATCAAAGAACTTCTCGTTCGTTACCACATCATATATGAAAGCTTAGCAATTGATGAATTTCCCTAGAAGAGGAGGTTCACCCCCGCTGCGTGGCATTCGCAACCTCACGATGTATCATAATTAGGTATCTGCACATGCCTATCAATATATACTTTGATCAAGCCTTGAGAGGGGTCCTGAACAGTGGTTATTTGAAATTGGGTAACTATATTATCATGAAGTGAATGTTATGCGACAGGCTACAAATCGATAGCTTTCCCCTTGAAGATACAAAGTGGTAGCATGGGAACTCACGAATAAGCTTTTTTATAGACTGTCGTGTCACAATAGTTGCAGCTATAGACAAGGATCGTCATTATGTAACGTCATTGTGGCGGAAAATGGTAGTGATAAGGCTCGTTGACAGATCATGAGTATGGTAGACCGTCTCCCCATGGCGACTCAACCCGGCATATCTTGTGCCTGAAATCTTGAGTTTCGAGAAGTGAACAAAACCTATCGCCTGAGGATTATGTAATGGTTGATCGACTTAGTAAGGTATCACTTTTCAGCTGGTATCTCTAAAGGAGACTCGCGATGCTTACTTGAGTAAGATGAGTGAGCCTCTTTAGCGCCTAAAGGCTTAGTCTAAGGCCTCCACTGGCATTTCATCTTTATGAAAGAATGACGTCGTTTAAGCGAGATGGCCTCTATATTGAAGGATACGAATGCAGAGTAGACACAACAAGCTGGCCTGTGCTTGAAATTCACAATTGGTAACGTTGAGCTGCTGTTAGTATTCGATCCAGACGTAACCAAGAGTAATTTTACGATGCTTCAGACATTTGCAAATCCACGGGGTGTCAACGGCAAATGTTACAGGTTAGACAGGTTAAATACGGTGAGTGGTTGGCTTGCTGTGGATATTATTCATCATTGGTTCGCTTATCAGTAGTATTGTCACCTCCACGCACATTCAACATTGCAGGAATCTTGACCGTACCGTTAGCCCAGTGGTATACTTCTCGTAATACTGTAGCATTATCAGACGACCTACTCATCGCAATAAGCTTCCCCCCTAAAATATGCAGAGGTGATCTCCCGCCGGATTCGGTACGACACAGAACGATGGCACTTCCCGTCTGCAGAAGCATGAACCACTGCAGCAAAGTCACAATCGGTGAAATAGCATTACCCAATAGATGAGTAAAGTGAGGCAGGCATTATTGCGTGCTGAACCTCTACATGGCGTGTCTGATGGCAGGCGGCAGAGGACCAAGGCATAGGAATACTTGGCAGAATTTTATTTCACAATCATCGCTCAATGCAGATAAGGCCAGGCGAATCATCAGGGGCAACTCTTCTGTGTGTGACAACGATATTTGTTCTGCTTCTACTTCACATGCAAACCCATCTCAACGTTTAATGCCAACCTAGCTGTCATTACAAATTGTGGCGTGGTATCACTACAGCGTCGCCAAGCTTACGCGAATGCTTGAGTGCGCCAAAGTGACTGTTTGCATATCCGAAAGGTGGAAGGGGGAGGGCTTCCGGTGACCATCTGGCGTCTCACGCACCCAAACCATGCAGGCGCTTTGCGGGGGTCCAGCCTTGATGATTCCTGTATATGCAGTCCCATGTATTACGCATCTCGTCTCCATGTATTATGGCATCCTCCCCCCCTTGTCAATGGCATGCCGCTCTTGCACTCTTTGGCATCTTACGCGTGACTCTACGGTGTTGGACAACGAACCGCTGCCACAAGCTGAACAATGAGGATGAAAAGGCCCGATTAGGCACGAAGCGTTTCAACATGACGAATGATTAGTTGCAATTTGATTTGAATTCTTGCCGTGGTTACTGTCCCTCATATTTGCAAACTACGGTTCACTCACCGTTGTAATTATAACGATTCTGTAATTGAGACTCGAACGAGACCGAGGATCACCATCAACGCACTCAGTACATGTCCGTTACTGGTTTCGTTGAGTTAGTGCCTGGTTATCATATATGTCACTAATGTTCTGACTAACAAGATGAGGGTTTCTGGACAATCACGTTATTGTTGAATACTCGTTGTATAGTGAGTTGCTGGCTTGCTGCATCTACCACACCGGCTCGGACTCCTTCGATTTCCCCCACGTAGTAGCAAAGACGCCTCGACTGCATCTCAACATCATCGTGATGCTTGCAGTCGCTTTCCAGCGACGCTGACATGAAACAACCCTCCCCACCCTCTGCGTGGCCACTATTGTATTGCATCAACTGAACAGGATTCGGCAGGAAAAATTGCAAATCTTGATTATTGTCTTGCTCGAAAGATGCTTATTCGTTGATAGCTGACAATATTTGATTGTAACTTCACCAACAAGCGCACTTGCTAATATCTCATGTGAGGTATTACTTCAAAGCTGTCATCTAACTGAGCCCTACGTCGATCTATTTCTTGTTGGGGGGTGCCGTTCTAAGCATCTGTAGTATCTCAGCAAACGACTTCGCGCCTTTGTCGATATTTTACATTGCGATCTTAGTAAAACTATCGTGCTCCTGGTCCATGGCTATCAATATCCATCCATGTAAAAGAGGTATCACATCGTCTCTTCTTCTTCTTCTCATCACGGTCTCGTCCCACATTCAGGGATTCTTACCTGGATTAAGCGTTGTTCCATAAAAATTTCTATTAAGCTAATACAACCGATCTAAAGCTTGGCTTTATGCTCGCCCAACCTTGCAATATTAGGAACTCAGTACGAGAGCGTCTGCTGACTCATTGTGGCAGTGCGTTTCATATCGTTCTTAGTACTATGGTTAGATGATTGTCTTTATAATCAACAATTTATAACAAGGGCAGATTGAACTGGGCTTGGAACTGAGGATTCTGATTACAATGATCAACTAGGGCTGCATTAGTCCTTGACCAACCAACTCCTTCTCGGCTGTTGGTGGCTCGAGAAGACTCTATACACAAATGATCTGCCAGCCCAGACCGCCTGGGTCTCTAGGGTCTGTTTCAAGAAGCGAAGTCTGTATAACCTCACTTTCCAATATTGCCCAATATTGCCTGCATGTCTTGGAAGGTCATGAACAGCCTGCAATGGTCCTTCGTACGGCCGAAGTGCAAGGCGAACTGCATTCTTCAACCGGAACAGAGGTTACACGTGTAACACAATTAGACGGAAACAAGCCGAGGCGTATGAGTAATGGATTTGTAAGCGATGCTAAGAAATGCCATTGATACTGTATATAGTGGCTGACCATTTTACCATTATAAATATTCAACCCCGCAAAAACAAATTCGAATGCTCCTTAACTGCTATGGCCATCTCCTCAAAGCTATAAGCAAATCGCAAGGGTCCCGGGCCACCACGTCACGGGCCACCCCACCACCCACCCAACACCACTCAATTGAAGCCGTATTTTTCAACGAAAACGATCGCAATCGCTATTTTTAAGCGGTTACAGCCGTAATACAGTCTTCAAGCTCCAAAATATCCTTTTAAATGATCTCTAACAGGTTTTCCAAGGTCTTAAGCACTTTATAATTACTTACCTCGTTTTTATAAATCCTCCTATTATGTACCCTACGCTTAATCTTTTATATATTTAATATTTTTATAAATTTATACCCGGGTATTATTTTTACCTTCTTTCTTTTTAGTTTAATTAATTTTTTAACTTTAAATTAAAGGTATTAAACCTTTATTTCGAAAGTTGTAATCTTATTAATTTAAAAGTCTAACGCCTTTAAAGCCTTTTAAATAATTAACCTTTATATTAATATATTAAACGTATAATAATTTATAATAAATTTCTAATAACTTTATTAAAAATTTTAACCTATTAAAAATATTATTATAATATATTTAAGGTTAAATATTAAAAAGTTTAATATTTTAAATCTATTTTTTATTATAAGGGCTTTATATTTAACCTTTAAAATATCCTTTTTTTTAATATTATATATTTTAAAAATAATAGTTTAATTTAATCCTATAGGAATATTTTAATTATTTTTTATATATTTTTAACCTATTTAAATATTAAAATATTAATCTTTATAAATTATAATACTTTTAATATATTTTTTTTTAAAAGGTTTAATATTTAAATTAATTAAAGGGTATTTATAAAAATAATTATAAAGCTATTTTTTTAATAATTTAAAAATTTTAATATTTAATATTTATATAATATAATTATAATAAAGTTTATAAAAGATTAACTATACTTTATTTAATATATAAGTTATTAAAAAAATATTATTTATATAACTATTATAATTATTATATATTAATATTATTTATTTATTATTATATTAAGTTTAAATTTATAATATAAAAACCTTTTTAAGTTAATTTAATATAATT